GGAGTGATCATTACTAATGTATTCTAAGACATTCCCGCATCTAGCTATGCGGAGAAAAATGGCCACACACCAAACCCTCTTTGGGGTAGCATGTGCAAATCAATGTGAGTGTTTTAAACACGTGTTGCGGAGGACAATCAGACATGGCCAGAGAGAAGAAATGGGAGAGGAGGCTGGACACTGAGGAATGGCTCCATCTGGAAAGGCCAAGTGGGGGCCGGGGTGGAGAGGAGAGTGTCAGGATGTGTCGGGGTGGGTAACAGAGACAGGATGCCTTTGAGGGACATCACGGAGGCACCTCCCCCAAATCTCTCTTCTACCTGCTCTTGATTCCTGAAATTAAACCACTCTTTTAGGTTAAGGCTACATATTCTTTTTTTATTTTTTTTTTTTTTTTCCTTTTCCTCCCCAAAGCCCCCCGGTACATAGTTATATATTCTTCGTTGTGGGTCCTTCTAGTTGTGGCATGTGAGACGCTGCCTCAGCGTGGTTTGATGAGCAGTGCCATGTCTGTGCCCAGGATTCGAACCAACAAAACACTGGTCCGCCTGCAGCGGAGCGCGCGAACTTAACCACTCGGCCACGGGGCCAGCCGCAAGGCTACGTATTCTTAAACGAAGACCTTCCTGGAAAAGTTAACATTTGAAGCTACAATCAGTCATTTATATTTTAGTCTGAGTAAGTTTCAAATTGTTTCTGGAGGGATCTTGATGCGTGACACATGAAGGACCTGGGCACCCAGGGATAGGGCACAGGCCCAAGCAGAGAGAAGAAAAGAAAGTGAGAAGAACTTGGGCTCCGAAGGACACAGGAGTGACTCACCTGTGTGTGGGGCGCACATTACACACCTCTTGTGTTCTATTTTGACAGAAATGACCCAGAGTTTATGCCACTGAACAGCAGTTTACAACTGACTCTGCACACGTTCAATGGCTGACAGTTCCGCCATGTCTCTATCAGTTACACATGGTGACAGAGGAGGCAGAGGAAATCTGCCAGTCTCCTCTTCCAACACTGATCATGCTATGGGGCTAAATTTAGGCTTCTACTCCTTAAACAGGGAACTTTCCAGTTATCCATAAGCAGCCTTAAGCTGTGTGTGTGCATGGGGAAGGAGGAGGAAAATGGAGATGTTCTATGTTGCTATCAATTTCAGCCCTAAATCCATACAGGCATGTCTCTTAATGACATAATAAAAGAAGTTAACATTCACTCATTCATTCGTCATACAAGTATTTATTGAGTACCTGCTCTCCTGGAATTTATATTCCAGTGGGGGAAGACAAATAAATAAATCAAATACACAGAGTGCCTGATGCAGCAGTGCTGTGGAGAAGAATAACTCTGGGAAGGATACGAGGCAGTGTTAGCAGGAGCTGGCTCTTAGACAAAGGAGGCAAGGCGAACCTTTAAGGGTGAGGATCTAGGGTAGAGGCCCACGCCTGGTGTGGGAAAGGCCCAGTCCAGTGGGGGCAGGGAGAACGGTAGGAGATGAGGTCAGAGAGACAGCAGGCCCAGAGCCCAGAGGGCATGGGTGCCAGGTAAGGACTTTGGCTTTTGCTCTGAGTCAGATGAGAAGTCATAGGAGTTTTGCACGAAGAACATGATCTGGTTTATATTTTAAAAGAATCCTTCTCGTGGCTGTGGTGAGAAGGGATTGTAGGAGGATAAGGGCTGATGTTGAAAAAACTAGTTAGGACACTGTAACAATAATCCAGAAGACAGATGATAGTGGGTTAGCCCAGGGTGGTGGCAGTGGAGATGGCAGAAACTGTTTAGGTTCTAGACTTATTCTGAAGGTAGAGTTGACAGGATTTGCTGATGGACTGGATGTGGGGTTTAAGAGAAAGAGAGAAGTTGAGGATAACACCTAGGTTTTTGCTGAAGTGAACAGAAGGATGGAAACATTTTTTGAGACGAGAAAGCCTCAAAGAACAGGTATATGTGTGTTTATGAAGGGGAGGGACTGGGGAGGGGTAGAAGAATTAGGACTTTGGTTTAGGATATATGAAATTTAAGAAGTCCAATAGAAATGTAAGTGATGGCGTCAAGTACACAGATGCTCTAAATGTCAAGCTAGAGAGCCAAGCTGGAGAGAGAAATTTGGGACTGAACGGGATACTGAGGGCATTTAAGGCTCCAACACTGGATGTGATCACTTAGGAAGCGAGTGATAACAGAGAAGAGATGTGATGACTCAGCCCTGGGGCTCTCCAACATTAAAAAGCTAGAGAGGCCAGAAGGAACCAGCAAAGGAGACTGAGAACAAATAGACAGTAAAGTGAGAAGAGAACCAAGAGAGGCTATTTCCCAGAAAGCCCAGTGAAGAAAAAATTCAGGGAGAAATTCAACTGTGTAAATGCTGCCGATGGACCAAGAAGGATAAGGCTTAAGATGTGACCACTGGATTTAACAATGTGGAGGTGATCAGTGATCTTGACAACAGCTATTTCCATGGAGTGATGGAGATAGAAGCCAGGTTGGAGGGTTTTAGGAGGAACTTGGAGGAAAGGAATTGGAGACAGGAGGTGTGGATGATTCTGCAGAAGAAAACAGAGAAATGAGACTGTAACTAGAGGGGGATTTGGGGTCCAGGGTGGGCATTTTTTCAAGATGGGAGATATTACAGTGTGTTTGTACAATCATGAGAATGGCCAATAGAGGCGGAATCAATGATGCAGGAGATTGCCAGAGTGATGACCTCGAGTAGGGGAGAGCAGACGGGATGTGGCGCGGGAGTGAAGGAACCAGGAGGGAAGGAAGCTGATGGATGTGGAGTGTGAGTGTGTCATCATTCTCTTCTGATTGTTTTTGTTTTCTTGATGGAAGAGGAGACAAGATTATCAGCTGAGACAGAGGTTGCCAAGGAGGTAATGGAGCTTTGCAAAGAGAGAAGATACAACACAGTCATCCAGGAGGGAGGCAGAGTGAAGGCACTAGGAAAATGCTGTGCGATGGATGGGCAGCACGAAGGGTTCACTAGAGGGGGGAGCTCGTGAATTTAAAGGCAGCCTGGTCAGTGCGTTGGTGTGTTGAGTGGCCCAGGTGGACCGACCCATGAAGAGGTGGATTTCCAAGAGCCAACCATGTGCGAGGCACCGTGCCTCAGACACATTCATCCTCGTTATCACTCCCCCACAACAAGGTGGGTGTTACTATCTCCATTCTACAAATGAGAAAACCAACGCAGAGAGGCGAAGTGACTCGCCCAAGGTCAAACCACTAAAAGAAGCAGAATCAGAATTCAAACCACAGTCTGGCCCAGCAGCAACACTGCCAACACCATGCAAAATGGTTGTCTTAGCATTTGAGTGCTCCTTCTCATGTTGAGATATTTATAAGGCTTTCCAAAAGAACTTTTTTTGCATGAAATCTCTAGATTTTTAACAAATACTCCAACATAAATATTTCAACTTGCTTCTTGTTTTTACAACTGTCAACTCAATTCAAATTAATGACAGTTGCTGTCCTATGGACTATTCACCCAATAGGCAAGAAAAAATAAAAACTGAGTCCACACTGAATTCTCTGGAAGAACAGAACCATCGCCCTGAAGTATTTCAACAGGCTGACACTTCTAAAGTCCTGTTCACCCATTCGCTTGTTCCAGCAAATGCTGCGATAACCAGAGACAAGGACCCAAATCAGTCTGAGGGGTGGAAAGTAATGCAGAGGCAGCAGGACAGGAGGGGGAAGAGGGAAGGTTAAACAAACTAAGATTTTGAGTCTAGAAAGGAAAAGGATAAAGAAGGATCTAATTCTTGGTCAGGAACTAAATTAAACAGGAGGTTGACTGATCTGATTACTCTGTGTCCTGAAAATGAGAACAGAATCATAAGGGCATTTAGAAGTATTTTGTTTCATAGAATTCCCAAAGACAATGACTGGGACACATCCTACTTACTGCCAACACTGCATTCATCATCATTAAGGCCTACATTTCTTAGTACTTGAGTTCTCTAAAAATACATATTTGGGGGCCGGCCCAGTGATGCAGCAGTTAAGTTCGCACATTCCGCTTCTCGCTGGCCCAGGGTTCACCAGTTCGGATCCCAGGTGCAGACATGGCACCACTTGGCAAAAGCCATGCTGTAGTAGGCGTCCCACATATAAAGTAGAGGAAGATGGGCATGGATGATAGCTCAGGGCTAATCTTCCTCAAAAAAAATAATTAATTAATTTAAAAAATACATATTTGGATTTTTTAATATTAGTAATAAAAACAACACAAATAATACGCACAAAAATAACTGGCTGAGCGCCCATGTTTGGCAAACACCACAACAGGTACTTTACATTGTTCCCTGAGTTAACTCTAACTCCATGAGGCAAGCATTCCGATCATCACTTTGTAGACGATTCTGGAGCTCAGAGAGGTTAAGAGACAAGCCCCGAGTCACACAACCAGTAAGTGGGAGAGCTGTGAGTCAGGTCCGTGGACCTCTAGGTCTGGACTGGACAATGACAGGGAATAGGTGGGCTTTAGAACCAGAGACGGTCACTAACCATGTCAAGGAGTTATCATTAAGCTCAAATAATAGACTGTTTGGCAACTCAGTCAGGGAAACTTGTAGAAAAGCTGCTACCTGAATGCAGAGTGTACCTCACAAGAGGAATACTAAAGTCCCTATTACTATTACCTGTAACACATAACAGGCCCACATGGTTATTTTCCCAAGTTTTAAAAACACAAAACATACCAATTCCACTCTCTCCCTGCTGAACCAATCGTTTCCCTGTCTCTGAATGCATTTGGATGGAGATCAGAAAGGGACTCAGACAAAAAAGGCCTCCAGGAAACAGCTCCTTGTTGTGGTCACACCAGCGAAGCTGTCCTTTGATGTCTCTCCCCACACTGTAAATAAGACGTTTGTCTACCCGAGACAATGAATCACTCCTTAGAGGTCTGCCATTAGAAGAAAGAGAAACAAACTATCACATACCTGTCTATGTTAGGGGATTTTTTTTAATATTAGTTAGTTTTAAACTTGGCTTCTTACCTGGATCCACATCAGAAGAGCAAGGAGTAGAAAGGGCTTCCACAGAACTAAAAGCCTCGCTGTTGGGCTCTTGGCCAGGTCTCTGCAGCACGTAATCTCTTAAGTCGCAAGCTGACGGCAGGTCCAAAGCACTGCTCTCCTCTGACAGGCTGCCTGGAGTGGCTTCCCCGGCCGCCATAGTCCTGCCACAGGAAAAAAAAAAAAAACAAATTCAATACAAGAGGCTCTGCCTAAGAGGAGCCTCCATCAGAGTCACCACTTGAAAGACTGAAGTCCCAGCATCTTAAGGACCAAACAGTAGAAACAATCATTTCCCTTCCCCTGTTATTGTCGGTCTTCCTTCAGAACTAGTATTTGTTTACTGTGTTTCTTTATCATGAGAAACAAATACTCTCAGCACAGAAAGAAACCATTACTGATTTCAGCTGGGAAAAAAGCTCCACATCGGCGGGGCGGGGGAGGGGAGCCAGCCCAGCGGCGCAGCGGGTAAGTTCACACGTTCTGCTTTGGCGGCCCAGAGTTCGCCAGTTTGGATCCTGGGTGTGGACCTATGCACTGCTTGTCAAGCCACATATAAAGCAGAGGAAGATGGGCACAGATGTTAGCTCAGGGCCAGTCTTCCTCAAAAAAAAGCTACATGTCTGACACGAGAAAGGTTCAATCATAGAACTCCCACTCGATGAAAAATGCAGCATTAGAATTCCAGGGCTACAAGAATATTCAATGAGAAAGGAATCTATTCATGACAATATTAAATAGAAAAATATTTTAAAATCATAAGTCGAGTTTGATCCACATTTCATAAAATAAAACATGTGTGGGATGTGTGTGTACGTGAAATAGATGGATCTATAGCTAGAAAAAACCAGTCTGGAAGGCTAGATCCCAAAATCAATTTCAGGGGTTATGTGGGTAGTGAGATGACAGGTGATTTGCATTGTCCTCCTTGCATACTCAAACACGCACTCAGTCAGTTATGTAACATGCCAGGCCCCATGCCAGGCGCTGGGGATACAAAGGTGAACATGAGAGACCCTTCCCCGACATTGCTCACCGTTTGGGGTGATCCAAACACAGAGACCTATCCTGTTAACACAATGACAAGGCAGCAAGGAGCCCAGACAGGGGCAGTGGGCTTTCTGGAGGAGGTTATCCCCAAGCACGGGGCAGGCCAGGCCATGGCCCAGGGCCAGCATGAAGACCAGAAGAACCAGTTTGGGCAACCACAAGTGGCATGGGGTGTCAGGAGTTTGAAGTGAGAGCCAAGGAACTGTCACACACTGGGTAAGTGGGGAGGGACAAACCCTGGAGTCTTGGCTGGATGGCCGTGGGGCCCTCTCCTCTTCCGGCGCAAGCTCTGGGAAGGACAGCAGGGCCTGGCTGCTATCAGCAACTTGATACACAAACTCTCTAGCTGAGCTCTGGAGACTGCGACGTGGCTTACTGGGTTCAGGGTTTGGACATTTCCTGTTAAAAAGCAGGGGCGTTCCTCACCCCTCCTGGGTCTATGTCTACCTGTGGGGCCTAAGTTCTCTACCAGAGGGCTCTCTGCAATGCACCCAGCCCTGCCCACCTCTCTACAAAATAACTGTGGACCTGGGGAGACCCTGGACCCTCTGCTACTCTCTGCTTCATAAGGTGTTGTCATCAATAAATCTTATTATAGCCAACGCCACATGTCATGTGTGCCATGGGCCACCACACACCATGCAGAGGAGTTACATGGTCAGATCTTCAGATTTGGCAGCTGGATAGCATGTAGGTTTGTAGGGCCTGAGCCTGGTGGCAGGCAATCTCAGAAGCAACAGGAATTCATTCACTGCAGTGGTCCAGGTGAGAGAGGAAGAGCTTGTGAATGAGGGCATGGCACTATGGGTCAAAAGTAGGGGGCAGATTAAGAACATACTTAGGAGGGAAATGAGAGTAGAACTTAAGTGAATAGACAAAGGGGTTAAAGAGGAACTGAGAGTCGAGGAGCGGCAGCTTCAGCGGTTGGTTGTATTACTAACTGTTAGAAAAGACAGAAGAAGGAATAGGTTTGGAAGGAGGCAGTATTTCAAATTATGGCATACTTCTAGCTGTTAAAATGACAATCAGAACTTGAAAGATCTCAAAGACGTATGTTTGAATGAAAGAGGGAATTTCAGAATAAAATGATCAGTATAATAATAAGAGTAATTAACATTTATTGAGTGCTTGTTGGACGCCAGGCCTTGTGCTAAGAGCTTCATCTGCAACAGCCCTAGGAGGCAGGGAATCCTACTATTACCCTCATTTACAGTCAGACAGTCAGCCTCAGACACAGAGACGTAGCGTAACTTGCCCAAGGAAAGCCATCTAGAAAGTACCAAGCTGGGACGAACCCAGCTCCAAGACTTCCCAGCCTCCCGCATCTGCACAGCCTCCATGCTGCCGCCCAAACTACCTGATCAGGCAAAGACAGGAAGTGTATAAAAACAAATCAACAGAGAGGCCTGGTGAGATCCTTCTTGTTTGAGGACACCCAGTCACACGCTCTTGCGGCCATTTGCTCAGAGTCAGCCAAGATGTCAGATGATTGCTTCTGAAAGGAGTGGAGTGATCAAGGTTCCCAAAGAAGCAAGAACATCCTGTCTTTTCACACATGCTATATTAGACAACCAAGCCTGGGGTTTCAGCAACCACCTCCGCCACAGGCATCTGCTGTTCCTCCTCCCATCCTGTTACCACACACTGCTCGGAGGCTTCTGGAAGGGAACACACAGGTCAGCGAATGACATTGGCATATCCTGCCTGCCTGGAAAGGTGCCTTGAAATCAACCATCAATCAAGGGTGTCCTTAGTGATCCAAAATGAAAGGAATCCTTTTTGAAAACAAATAGCACATTGATCTGCTATCTGTCCCTTCTTTTAGGATCACTATTAAGTGACAAATCCATTCCAAACCAGGCATTCGACCTAAAAGGGAAAAAATGCCTACTGAAAGGCAGATTCCTTTATATTATAAAATAAGTATCTGTGCGTGTGAAACACATTATTTGGGATCCAGCAAGTGTGTACAGGAGAAAGCGAGTACTAGGGACAGATGAGACCCTTCTCATGGTCTGAAACCACCTTGGCTGGCAAGTGGAATGCAAACGTTATCCCTTGCCCCAAAACTTTTGATATGTGGTTCAACTTCCTTCTCCAGAACTGGTTTAATGACACAATCTAAAGATTGTTTTCCAAAACCGGAGAGTACAGGATGCCCTGGGGTTGCAGGCACAAGTCTCTAAGTACATAGACACCTGCGTACCAAGAGAAGCAGCCATTCCTCTACCCCACAGTCTTACAGACCTACACATACAAGCACTCAGGGTCCATGTCAAAGAAGTAGTTTAACTTCATTTACTTTTTTTCAATTAAATCTCTTTCCTTCCAATATTTTACATGAAAAATTTCAAACATAAAGAAAAGTGGAGGGCCGGCCCCGTGGCTGAGTGGCTAAAGTTCTCCACTTCAGCTGCCCGAGTTCAGAGGTTTGGATCCTGGGCATGGACCTGCTCCACTCATCAGCCATGCTGTGGAGGCATCCCACATACAAAAAGTAGAGGGAGACGCACAGATGTTAACTCAGGATGAATCTTCCTCACCAAAAAAAATGAAAAGAAAAGAAAAGTGGAAAGAATTATATAATAAACATCCATATAGCTACTGCCTAGATTTCATAATTAACATTTTACTATGATTTTATCAGATAACCATCTATCCAACTCTCTACCCATCTATCAATTTATCTTATTTTTATACATATTTCCATTTAAATTTTAATGTAATGAAACCTCCTGAGCTGGGGTGTGATAAGATCAGTTTGCCTTTTCAAACACTCACTCTGTTAGGCAAATGAAGCATGAGGCAGAGGAGGTTAACCACGAAGCAGGGAACACAGCCAGGAAGCTCGACAGAAATGTCTGGAGAGGTGCAGGGTCTCTGGAGTTGGAGAGACCCAGGTTTGAACCCCTGCTATCACTTTTTAGTTGTGTCACCTTGGGCAAGTCACTTAACCTCAGTTTCCTCATCTATAAAAATGGCTTGATAACAGTACTTACCTCACAGGGTTGTCATAGGAATTATATGAAATTAATGCAAATAAAATACTTACTCCAGGATCCATGCTCGATAATGTCAAGCTCCAATAAGTAAAATAGTAAGAAATAAAAAACACATTACAGGCTCCTATCTTCCCAGCCTACCTCCAGTACATGTGCCTCTCTATTTCCCATCTGGTAGCCATCTTGCTTCGTTCATCCCTACCTAGTTCACAATCTTGTTAATACCCTTCCCTGCCCATTCTGTCTTTTTATCACACCCCTTTGGCAAAACCCCAGCCTGGATGAACTCAACTATCTATCTACTCTCCATGTGCTGGACATGAGAGTCACATAACAGAGCAAACTGTTTCACTCTAAATGAATGAGCACCAGCCTAGAATGGGCTATCTGACCAAATGAATCCTGAGATGTCTATATCATAACTCCCTCTCCCCCTCCCCTTGACTCTTTCATGTTTTATCCACTCTTCTTCAACTCAGACCCACCCCATCACTCACACACCTTCCTCTTTCCAACACATCATCTCACTTGCTAATGGACAAAGGAAACAGAATCCAGCAGAGAGAAACAACTTCAACTCCCCTATCAAACATAGCAAAGGCTCCCACATCTGCACACTGGTTCACCTCTCTTCACCTCTCCTTACAACAGAGGAGTTGTCGCTCCTGCGGCAAAGGCCAAACCCTCCACCTGGGCTTTAGATCCCACTCTCTGGACCTTTCTGGAAGCCTTCAGCTTCTCTCGCTTCTGCTCCACCAGACCTTCACTTAGGCTTTTCAATATGCCCAAATTGCTCCCACTTTTCAACAAAACTTGGTGTGTAAGAGAATGTCTTTGTTCTCTGTAAACGCTACTCAAATATTTAGTGGTAGGGGGATATGATGTCTGCAACATACTAAAAATGTGTGTGTATATATATATGTGTATACACACACATTATACATAAAACATATACACACATGAGAGAATGTTAAAGTAAATGTATGAGGCAAGTGTAGACAATTGGTGAATATGGAAAATGTTATTTGGGAGTTTCTTGTACTAGTCTCGTAATTTTTTGAAGGTATAAAATTACATCAATATAAAATTTCTCAATAAAGAAAAAAAAAAGCAAAAGGAAAACCTTTAACACCTTCCCTCCTCACGGCCAGTCTCCAATTCCCTCTGCAAACATTTCCTCAGCTCCACCAGCTCCATCACCCTACCATAGAACTTCTAAAAACTCCTTCTTCTGACATTCTTTCTTTGCTTTTCGGGAAGTCACTCTCCTGCTTGTCCTCCCATCTTTTTGCCTTTGTTCCTTCCTGCCTGCTCTGCTGCTCACCCTCCATCTCCAAATGGACTTCCTCAAGGCTCTCTCCTCTTCTTTCCTCCTCTGCGACATCAATTATTGCCCAGAAATTTCTGTCTAGCCCAAATCTCCCAACATCAGGTCCCCTTGCTTTCCATGCTTCAGGCATAGTGGTTTTCCTTCAGATTCTCCAAAAAGCCCTGCTGCCTCCCACTGCACTTGTCTTTCCCTCTCTTGGATAACGCTTCTAAAAAAATGGAAGGGGAGGGAACACTTCCCAATTTGCTCTATGAGCCCAGTATTATTCTGACATTAAAACCAGAAAAAGACATCACAAGAAAACTACAGACCAATATTATGAATACAGAAATCCTTGACAAAATACTAGCAAACTGAACCCAGCAACATATAAAAAGGATTATACTTCATGACCAAGTGGAACTTATCCCAGGAATGCAAAGTGGTCTTAACATCAGAAAATCAATCAATGTAATACGCTATATTAGAACAAAGGACAAAAACAACACACACACACAAGCATTTGACAAAGTCAAACATTCATTTATAATCAAAACACTCAACAAACTAGGAATAGAAAGGAACTTCCTCACTTTGATAAAGGGCATTTTTTTAAAAACCTATAGCTAGCATCATATTTGAGGTGAAAGACTGAAGGCTTTCCCCCTAAGATCAGGACAAGATAATGACATCTGCTCTAACCACTTCGATTCAACATCGTGCTGGAGGTTTTAGTCAGCACAATTTAGGCAAGAAAATAAAATAAAAGGCTTCCATATTGGAAAGAGACAAGTAAAACTATTTCTATTAGCAGAAGACATGATTTTTGTATAGAAAATCCTAAGGAATCCACTTAAAAAACCAGTAGAACAATTAAACAAGTTAAACAAGGTTGCAGAATACAAGATCAATAAGTAAAACCATATAGAAATGATTTTACACTAGCAATAAATATTTATGTATATTATATAATAATAAATATATTATACACATTTACAAATAGTATTTATAAATATTGTGTAAATATTTATATACACTAGCAATAAATAATTAAATTGAAATTAGGAACATGATGCCATTTATAATAGCATCAAAAAGAATAAAATGCTTAGGAATACATTTAATAAAAAATGTGTAGGGGGCCAGCCCCATGGCCTAGAGGTTAAGTTCAATGTGCTCTGCTTCTGTGGCCTGGGTTTAGTTCCTGGACATGAACTTACACCACTTGTTGGTGGCTATGCTGTGGCAGCAACCCACATACAAAATAGGGGAAGACTGGCACAGATGTTAGCTCAGGGCGAACTGTCCTCAGCAAAAAAAAAAAAAAAAAGTGTAGGGCGTGGACACTGAAAACTACAAAAAAAATGTTGAAAGAAACTGAAGATCTAAAGGAATGGAAACACATCCTATGTTCACAGAATGGAAGACAATTTTTTAAGATGGCAATATTGATCTACAGATCATTGTAATTCTTATCAAAATCTCAATTGGCTTTTCTTTTTTTGCAGATACTCGACTAAACTGTTTCCAAAATTCATATGGAAATGCGAGGGACCCAGAGTAGCCAAAACAATGTTGAAAAAGAACAAAAGATAGAACACTTATACTTTCCAAATTCAAAACTTCCTACAAAGCCACAGTAATCAAGACTCTGTAGTACTGGCAAAAGGATAGACACATAGATCAATGGAATAGAACTGAGAGTCCAGAAGTAAAACCTTACATTTATGATCAATTGATTTTCCACAGGGTGCCAAGACAATTGCACAGAGGAAAGACAGTCTTTTCAACTCTGAGACAACTGGACATCCACATTCAAAAATGTAAAATGGTGCAGGCACACTGGAAAACAGTTTGGCAGTTACCCAAAAGGTTAAACACAGTTACACTTTGACCAGGCAATCCACGCCTAGGCATATATGCTCAAGAGAAATAAAAGTATATGTCCACACAAACTTTACACAAATGCTCATAGCAGCTTTATTCATAATAGACAAAAAATGGAAACAATCCAAATGTCCATCAACTGCTGAATGGATGAATAAAATGTGATATATACATACACGGAATATTTTTCAGCAATAAAGGAATGAAGTTCTAATACATGCTACAACAAGGATAAACTTTGAAAACATTATACTTATTGAAAGAAGCTGGTGCTAAAAAACAAAACAACAGGCCCCAAATGGAGTTGCTTATACCAAACCCCACAACTGAGACCTAACTTAATCACAGTTTGGGCTCTCCCAGAAACAGAATCTTAAACCAATCAATCAACAATCACCTGATTAGCACTAGTTAGGTAACCCGCCTGACAGACCCCTGCTATTCACTAAAGGAAAGTAACCTCGCAATAACCAACCCAATTTTTGGCCTAGTATAACTTCTTTGTTCCTGCTCCTTTCTGCCTATAAAAATCTTTCATTTGTACAGTGCCTCTGAGCTCCTTTCTGTCTACTAGACTGGATGCTACCTGATTCGAAGGGATTTTTGCTAAAATAAACTCCTAAAATTTTTAATATATCTCAGTTTATCTTTTAACACCAGTCAAGAAAGACCACATATTGTATGACTCCATTTATATCAAATGTCCAAATTGACAGATCTATAGTAGATTAGTAGACTAGATAAGTAAACCAGTAATTGCCTAGGACTGGGAAGTCATGGTGAATGGAGAGCGACTGCTAATGGGTACAGGGTTTTTCTTTGGGGTGATGATAACTAGACTATGGAGATGAATGCACAATTCTGGGAATATATGAAAAGCCACTGAGTTTTACATTTTAAATAGATGAATATTATGGTATGTGAATTATATCTCACCAGAGCTGTTTAAATGGAAGAAAAAGATTCGAAGCTCATTCAGACATACTGCCTGCAAATTCCAAGGATTCCCCAAAGCAGAGGCTGCTGAGGCAGCCAAGGCCATATATTGGGGGGGTGGGGGAAGGGAAGGGGGATGAGGGCGGGAAATTGGGAATGTACCAGGGGAAGCCTCCATAACTTCCCAACTGTGAGACAACGATCCGATACGTTGCTGAAATGCCCTCCCTACTTCCAAACCAAAGGCACTCCTGAGTCGACAGAGACAACTGGCCGAGAAAACTCGGCAGCTGCCAATTACACTCACCGCCCCGCGAAAGCAGCGCCCCGGAATCCGGAAGCGGAAGCGCAAGTGCCATATTTGTTATGGGAAAGGCGAGGTATGAAAAGAAGTCATCGGAACCATCTTTGCTGAGGGCAGGCAAGGGCAATGGAAGGTAGTCGCGGCCATGTTGACTGAGGGCATTTGCGCGGCCGTCGAAGCTTTTCGCACATGGCTAGTTTGGGCGATTCCTACAGGAGGCCTGTTGGAAAATGCGCTTGGTGGACACTAACTGAAACAGGAAAAATATTGAAAAAATTTTTTAAATGTAAATGTCTACATTTAAAAAACCATAGAAAGTAGACAGATATATTAACAGAAAGAATGACAATATTTTACTGTGTTGCGTGCAGGTAGCTGTACACAACTGCCAGAATTGCAGGTCCAAAGAAAAGAGACTGAGGGTTATTGTCCCATCTCTCTGTCTTCTTGAAAGAGTCTCATACACTCACAGCCACCTATGAGGAGGATTGGGAGAGGTCCCTATAAATTAGGAGTTCTGGACTTGAGATGAATATTTTAAATAATACTAGCTGAGGTTTGGCCAACTACATGCCAGATACTGTGAGTTTAAGACACCCTGGGAGATGTAGTGACCTTTTGGAGGCCAATTTAAAGGTACAATTAGAAGTAAAACTAACTTTCTTTCACATTCAGACAAACCTAACACAGCAACTGTAAGTTTCATTTTCTCTTCCAGCATTGTGCATTGCTTATCAAAGTGTATAATTTTGATTTTCACCTTTTTTCATGTCATATATCTCATAAAAACACTCTTTCAAAGTAATTTGATAGATTCTGATTAGAAAAAGTCTAGAATGACATTAAGTTACTTTCCTATTTGTTTCAGAAAATGACAAACTCAAATATAATTGAATAAAATTATCTGGATTATTATGCAACTAATAAAAATGATAAAAGATATAGCAAAAGAAAATACCAGATCGTGCATTGCATTCTCCGTTTTCTTATCTCCTTGGTTCCCTTTCATCCCCATTTCTCAATCTTTCTGTGTATTTCTTGGCAGTGACATTTTTGAAGAGTACGAGTCAGTTATTTTGTAGACTGTCCCTCAGTTTGAGTTTGTCTGTTGCTTCCACCTGGTTCCCAATAAAGTTGAACATTGTTGATCACTCCTTCCTTCTAGAAAGTCATGTTCCTGGGTTTCCCTGATACCATTTCTTTATGATTTTTCTCTTTCCTCTCTCAAATTTCCATCTAAATCTTCTTTCTCTTTGTTGTGGGCCTCTCCCAGGGTTCTGTCTTGAATCTTCTCTTCTCCCTTCTCTGCAGATGACTCCCAAATCTCTAAGCCTCGTCTCCTCCTGAGATTCAAGTCAACATATCCTCCAGCCATCTTGAACTCAATCTTCCACCACCTCCAATCAACCTGCTCCTATCCCAGTGTCTCCTGTCTCAGTGAGTTGGCTCATTTAGTTGCCAAAACCAGAAACTGTTTCTCCTGCTTTGTCAGCGTGTCCCATACCCATCAATAATCAAATCCCCTCGTCTGCTTCTTTCCCTTAAAGATCTATTGACTCTCTCTTAATTCTCTCCATCCTCACTGCAACTTTCTGAGTCCAGCCCACCATTTTCTGCCACCTGGATGACAACAGCTTCCCACAACTCCGTAGCCGGTTTTCTTTTTAATATAAAGATTGATCACACCACTCCCTTGCCCTCGGGTTAAAGCTCAAAGTTCTTAACCAGATTCAGAGGATCCCTACCCCTTACTTCCCATCACTATCCCCCAACCCCCCACCTGTACACTGACTATTTTCTTTTCCTTAAATACTTCATGCTTACTCTCTCCTGCCTCTGAGATTTTTACCCATACAGTTTTCCCTTAGGAACACACTTTTCTCCTCTTTTTTGGTCTCTCTCATCCTTCAAATCTCAGCTTTAGGGAAATCTTCCAGGAAATCTTCTCTGACTTATCAATATGAGTTAGTGAGCCCTCCCAGGAAGGCTCATGATTTGGTCCTTCATTTACCCTGATTACCCTCAGTTCCTTTGCCCTTTCTGTTTCTCTGACTAAACTAAACTGTAAGTGCCTTGAGGGCAAGTACCATGTCTATTTCATACTTGTGGCCCAGAGCCCAGCCAGTGACTCACATGTAAGTGCTCAGAAATCGCTGTTATGTGCATAAATGGATAAATCTTTTCCCAGGTTTCCTCCATTCCCCATTCCACCCTACTCAACCCTTACACCTTCCAAACATCTCAAAAACATGACTCCTTCCTGATCTATTGTCAGTGAAACAGCCTTTGGAACTTTTTGCCATTGTCACTCTTTCCTTGAAAAATAAGTTTGTTTATACGCTAATTCTCATATATTCTCCTGTGGCCTTTCTATGATACTGTTTATCTTTCTGATGAGCTTCCTGGAGCAAATTTCTAAAGTCTGGAGTGACTTCTTTTTGCCATATAGCATGCCTCTGACCATCCTTTCTTACCACTTTCAATTAGTCAGTGTGGAAGAAATGAAAACTAATTGAAGTCATCAAAACAAAATGGTCAATAATTGGGACCTTAAATCTGCAAAGACAGCAAAATAGCAAGTTCATTTCATTCCTAAAGTGAAGTATAAATTATGTTGGATGCCCTGCTGTTTTGCCATTGATTATATAATGGCTGTATAAATTGGGTTATGTCACAATCTTATGAAACTCCTATATTTCATGGTTGATTTTTCCTCCATTAGCTTAGCCAGCTACTTCAGTCAAACCTCTTTCAGTAGAAAGAAGTCACATTAGGAGAAAGATCAAAATAAAATCTCTTTCAAAGGGGGGAGATATTGTTTGCAATTACCTTATCTCTCTATGTAATTCTGAACCTTGATCTAATTACTCATCCATCTGGGGATCTAACTTTAAAAAATAAGAAAGGAAACCTTACAAAAGTTCAAAGGTTAAGTAATTGATGAGTCTTAAGGCATCTTATTGCTTTTCATTAATGCAATAGTCTAAAGCCATAATTAAGCAAAATAAATTGGTAACCAAGGAGAAAATATCAGATAGATTGTAAGTGGTAAGACCATAAGATCCATGAAAGTGGAGGCATTTTATTTGCTAATGAATACATAGCACTTGGACAGTGTATGTTTATAATGAAATAAGCTTGGACCTTAAGATCTAAAATCAGTACTAGCACAATAGTAAAGAGTTTAAAAATATTGCTTGATGGACAGTCTATGACATCAAGGAAAAGTATCCATTTCCTGGCATCTCAAGCCTGTGAGGGCTTAACAAATAACATGCCATTTCATGATGCTAGGGACAGACACATCTGATCTATGGCCCAGAGCCATCCTGGAGTGTCTACATCAGTGATGGAGCAACAAGTGCCCTGAATGTAGAGTCAGGAGGCTGAACTCCAGTCTTAGCTCTCTTACTAACCAATTATCTGTGTGGCTGTAGCCATTTAATCCCTGTGATCCTTAACTTTCCCATCTGTAAAAAAAGGAACAATAAATGCCTACCAGGACTATTTTTTTAAAAACTGCTTTGCTTAGTGCAGTAATTGGTGGACTGGTGGCCAGCAATTCTGAATTCACTTTTCTCCCGCAGTAATGATTTGAACAATGCCAGATATAATGAAAGTATTACATGTGTGGGGACCTGGAATTGGCCACCCCAAGATATGTCTCTTTGGCATCAGGATTATTTGAGGTTGATTGCTTTTGATAAACTGGGACAGGGAAGGAGGCTCTGAGGAATGCAACTTGCCCTTTGTTAGGACACGTTTACATTTGTAAGGTAAATCTCTATCTGTAAAAGGTGCCTCCCTCTCTGTACCAGGAAGAAGAAAGGAGATGACCTTCTCTCCAGAAACTCTTAATCAATACCAAAGGCAAGGACTTAAATCTGCATTTTATTGTGCTAGTCTGGTAACCTCCTGTAACTGACTTCCCTCCCCCTCCCAACTTTGGCATTTCTTTAAGGATTAAGCATCTTTCTTTAGGCTGGGAACCAACTGCAGCGCTCATCTGTGACTCCCCCCCCCCCCCCCCGCCCCAGCCCAAGGCAACACACCTGCTACCCTGCGGCGCTCACTGAGACAGCAGACCTATCTGCCATTTCCATCAAGAGCTGTGCTGACAGAGCAGCCTCATGACTGTTGTAAAAGGGACATTTCAATCAATGACTGTTGTAAAAGGGACATTTCAATCACATGTGAAACACCCCATTTGGGGGCTATATAACCACTCTGTGCACCCCACTTCTTCGGTGCCCTTTCTTCCTTCGGGAAGAAAGGCCCCAGGCCATGGTTCCTCATAAAGCTTTGTTTAATTTTCTCTTGCTATTCTGTCTCATGTGAATTTAATTCGTTCTCCAGCCAGACGAACCCCCATTTGGGGAGAGGAAATGTCCTCCTCCCCTACACATGTCAGCAGAAAACAAATGCAACTTGAAGAGGCTTTAGCTAAGGAAACTGATGAAGCTTCTGAATACTAAAGAAACAATTTGATTCTTACACATTTATTGGAATGTGATGTCTGAAGTCTTAGTAGTTACTGCAGAGCTTAGAAATCAGCAGGTACAATATGGTGATGAAGATTTTTATGTGCTTACATTCTGCCTACCTCCAAGAATTATTAAAGGAAGTGAATGAGTGTTTTACTTGGGGGCTTTGGACAATATATAATATGTTGTATTCCATTTACTATGGATGCATAATAAATTACCCCAAGACTTAGAGACTTAAAACAACAGTTATTGATGAGGATTTTTAGGCTGCTTAATTTTAAAATGGCTTATGATGAGGATTTTTAGGCTGGTTAGTTTTAAAACTACAGATGAGATTCAGGCTCCAAGGAGTGGAATTTGTTTGCCCCTTTGTTGGGAAACATTTACATTTCTAAGGGAAACGTCTATCTGTGAAGATGCCTCCCTCTCTGTGCCAGGAAGAGGGGGGGATGGTCTTATCTCTAGAGGCTCTTGGTCAATGCCAGAGGCAAGAACTTAAGTTGGTTGCTGTCTGGCAATCTCATGTAACTGGTTTAGGGTGGTGGTGTCTGACCTTTCTAACGTTTACTTAA